TATTATGCACTATAAGCACTTTATTAGAAAAGTTAACTAAGTATATCTCCAACTCTAAATTTACTTTTAGACATTGAAGCCACACTGACTTAAAATGACACAAGTAGGATTTTTTTTTTCTTTTTACTACTGGGGATTGAAATCAGGGGTACTCGACTACTGAGCCACATCCACAGCTCTATTTTGTAATTCATTTAGAGAAGGCTCTCACTGAGTTGCTTAGTACCTTACCATTGCTGAGGCTGGCTTTAAACTCATAATCCTCATGTCTCAGCCTCCCAAGTTGCTGGGATTACAGGCATGTGCTACCATGACTGGCACAAAATTAGGATTCATAGAGGCAAAGCCCAAGAAATTTACAGGGTGAAATCTTGAAAAGGATGAAGTAACTGAATCAAATATCTGAAGTGCGTATGAAGCCCCAGTAATTTTAGTTAAATACTAGAGCCTACACACATAGTGATGGGATTAGCAGGGGAATATACAGAGAATAAAAACATGCACCTGAGAAAGTTTTCCAGAAGTAAATTAAATACATAGCTCATACCTGCTATATGAACATGGCTTTATCGTCTGCTTTGCTTCTGAGTTTGGCTATGTCCAATGAGCATATTTAGGTTTGGTAATTTCTGAATTTTCTAAGTATTTTGAAGGTAATGTTCTAAGCAACTCTCTCTTCATCTCACAGTTTTGTGGATCAGTCTCTGGAACTGCTTCAGTTTGCAGGACCAGGGTGCCCTGCCTTTCTTCTTTTCATTTTCCTTGGAGCTGAATTTTCTGAAATTCTGGCAATTACTGTGAGCAAGGAGAAGCTCACTGGATATCTGCCAACTCCAGTGCTAGGGGTTAAGACTGTGTGAGGTTTGAGGGTAACTGTTGTGTGCCATAATGTACTCTTGTGTTATATTTTAGGACTACCTCAGAACAAAAAGAAGGAAATCTTTTATGACAACAAGCAGAACAATTCCCAGGGTCACTATAATCTACAATAGTTTTATTCTATAACTTCTGGAAGAAGTATTGCTCTGGTGACACAGTGACAGTATTTCATTGTTAAGATACTGAAAATATTTATAGCTGTCAAATAATAAATTCATATTATTTTAAGCAATTAAATTTTTGATATTTTTTACAAGTTGTAGAGTAAAATTATTTTTTCTGCTATTTAAATTAACCATGTTACCAAATACTAATGTGGTAGATAGATGTTAAACCTAAGTAGTAGTTTTCAAAGCTATGCAAACCTTTTACAAAATACAATTAAAATTGCTATTTTTGGTCAGAAACAGCAATAGCTTGGTCATAAAACTTTTTTAATCTGAAGTACTAAGCTTTTTTGGAATGGAAACTATGTATTATGCCCTGGAGAACTTTTCCCTCTTTGGTTAAACAACCTCTTATGAATTATACCTTAAGAAATATTCTAAAGCTAAACATGACTTATTTTTTATTGTATTGAACAACCTTGATCTATATAAGAGGAGGTTTGATGCAGACATAAATGCCTTGATAATGATTCTTTTAGTTTTTGAGGTTGATTTGCTACTTTCTTGATTCTATCTCCTACTACATTGAGAGCAGAAATTTTTGCTGGTTAGTATGTGTATCTTTTGTGCCTGGGAATGTGTGTTAGTGGCAGCTTGTTGTCTTGGATTCTGACAAATAGTGACTACAGTTTGCTGAGGATGTCACCAATATTTTTGCCTTTGTCAAAGTAAGGGATATTAAAACTTGGTTTTATCTTTTCCTATCTCAATTGTGTCATTTTCTTAAATTAGGTATCGGGTGGTAGAAGTACTTTGAAGTGGATACTTTGAGAGTAGGAATTTGTCAAGAACTATTAGTATCTACAAACTCAGAAAAGTAACAAGATTCAAGATCAATCAGTTATTTATATACATAAGAAAATATATATTCATATTTGAAATTAAAAATAAGTCTAATGACAATCATATCAAAAAAGTAAGTATTTTTACTTAGGATAATTTTGAGAAAGTTGTGAAAAGTTGGAAATTAGAACCCATAGCTTGCTTCTAGAAGATTCAGAAATATCCCTAAGT